GCCACACAGCTACTTGTACCGCAGCAAAGCACGATATGTCTTTTATTCCATGAAGGACAGAAATAACATCTTTATTTCTTGCGACTCTAGGAGATAGCTCCACTATCAAACATGAATACATATCCTGAAGTTGAATGTCACTCATCAACATTTCCTTCCTAACCTTTCAAATATAGACTATTTCCTTGGAAACATAACTTGTAGTCTATGGTGCCTTTCAAGTTTCTCATTATTCTCTTCACAGCTGTCCAGTACTTGGTTCTATGGTTAGATTGGAATTAACTCATAAGTCCAACCTCATAATAAATATTTAGTCAAGTACACAACATTGCATACATCAGATTGCCAACTATGCTTGAGTATGAGACTCTTTTCATATGTTTAATGTCAAATTCTTTAGTGGGACACATTTTCTCACTTAGGTTGTGACCATTGACTATAGGGTGTCCATGGGTTTGCTGTCCCTCATGTTGAAATGCTCAAGAATTTTACTTATGTAAGTCTTTTATGACAAAGACAAGTGTTTCCTCGAGCGATTTCTATTTATCTTGACTTTCAAGATATACTTTGCTTCACCTATATCTTTCATTTGAAAGTTCAAGGATAACTAATTCTTGATCATTTTAATTGTCTTGAGATTAGTATTGACTAATAATATGTCATCAACATATAGGAACAATATGATAAATTCACTCCTAAAATGCTTAATGTACAAATAATGGTCTTCTTTGATCATTTTAAAGTTGAATGAGGTTATTGCTTGGTGAAACCTTAAGTTCTATTGCCTAGATGATTGTTATAACCCATATATGGATTGAAAAAGTATGCATACATTATGCTCTTTACCTATTTATATGAAGTCTTCTGATTGCTCCATAAATATTTTTTCATCTAGTTCCCCATTAAGGAAAGCGGTCCTTACATCCATCTAATGTAATTTCAAGTCTAAACTTACTATCAGAGCCAAGATTAACCAATTGAGTTAAAATATACAATTGGTGAGAAAGTGTCCTCATAGTCTACTCTTTCTCGTTGTGTGTAATCGTTAGCCACCAAGTGAGCTTCTGCTTTATCAATTGATCTATCTACATTTCTTTTGTATTTAAGAACCTATTTGCTTCCAATTGCCTTTCAGCATGATGATAGTCAACCAACTCCTAAACTTAGTTGGTCTTCATGAAAGCCATTTCTACATGCATGGCCTTTTGCCAATTTTCCTTAGCAGGTCCTATAAATGCCTCTTTGACACTTATAAAATCTTCATTGTCTCTATTTAGACTAACAATAAAGGCTGCTCATTCAACTGAGAACCATCTTCTCTAAACTTTGTACCTTCTACTTCTCTAAAGTGGGTTAGTTTTAAGATTCTCTTCCTGTATTTGAGTGAGGTTTTCATGTGAAAATGACTCATCTCTCTTACTTAGATTAGTAAACTGAAGAATATTCACTAGTTTCTCATTAGATCAATCATCAGTCTTATAGAGATTTTTTGATCCATCAATCTCTCCCCTACTAAGGAATTCTATTTTCAAAAAGATTGTATCCCTTGATTCAACCTCAGTCACTGAGCCATCATCATCTTCGCCGATGAAGATGTAACCTTTTGAGTGTTCATAGTATCTTATGAAGACACCCTTCTTGCCTTTAAGGCCTAACTTCTCCTGTTTGTGAGAAGAATCATGGACGTATGCTACTAATCCCCAAAGTTTTAGAATAGTTAAGTTTAGTTTGCGACTTATCCATAGCTCATAAGGTGTGTTTGTGATTAATTTGGAGGGCACACAGTTAAGTATGATAACAACTATCATTAATGCATCCCCTAATATAGAGTTGTTAGGTTTTCTTGTGCCATCATAGACTTAACCATATTAAGGAGATTTTTGTTCCTCCTTTCTGCAATTTCATTCTATTGAAGAGTTTTAAGAATGGTAAGTTGTCTTACTATTCTATTCTCTTTATAAAAGGCCTTAAATTATTTTGAGAGATATTCTCTACCTTTGTTGATTCTTAAAATCTTGACCTTATTACTTAGCCGATTCTCTACCATGTTGATATATTTTCTAAAACATTCAAAAGCCTCATATTTGCAAGAAATCAAGTAAATATAGCCATATAATGAGAAATAATCGATAAAGGTAATAAAATATCATGATCCGTGTTGAGTCCTTACACTTATGGGTCCACAAATATCAAAGTGTACTAATTGCATAGAACATGTGACTCTAGTTCCTTTCTTAAAAGGTTTTCTTGTTGTTTTACCAGCAAGACATGCAATGCTCACACAAAGACATTTCTTGTTTTAGAACACTCCTCAGCAAACCTTCTTATACTAGTTTGATCATTCTTTTTTTACCAATATGTCCTCGTCTAGCATGCTACATATTTTAATTTAAAGTGTAACATTTTAAATTTCAATTCTGAGGATTTTCGATGTTTAGAAGGGTATAATGGTAAAATTAAGTGAATTTTTAATTAATGATATTTTTAAGAGACTAACGTAGCTAATGGCCCATTGGATAGCCTTTGAAGAGGGTTAGATTGGAGTTTGAGTGGACCGTGGCATGGAGAGAGGCCCAAAACGTGTCTGGCCATTTCTGTGCCATGCACCATAGCATGTACAAAATCTGTACTTATCAGTTTCACAAACTAAACTAAAAAGTAGAAGTAGGAGAAGAGTAACTTGAGAAATCAACCTAGGGCTACTAAGGCTCAATTTTTGGAACAATTTGAAAGTATTTGGAGCAAGATTCACCCTTGGATAAGCTTCTTACACCTCTCCCTCTCCCTTTATGTGAATTCTTGATGCTTTTAGTTATGGTTGAGGCTTTGATTCAGTTGTTCATGGGTTATAATCAAACTCATTAGCTTAAATAAGGTATTGGGGAGTTAAATCATGCCTCTAAACCTAGATTTATAGATCATATAGTGATTTGAAGTTTTTGAAAAGGGTTTAGACTAACCCTAATTAAAAATAGGGAGATTAAGAACAACGTGTTTGGAGATTTGGGGTTTTTAGTGTGTTTAGGTGTTTAATAGAATTAATGGAGTATGTTGGGAGAATTGCTTAAGTTAAATTAAGGTTTTGGGTATTGTGGGAACCTAAAATTGTGTTATAAATATGATAATTAGTGTGTGGATTGATGACTAAGAGTTTAATCTTGTAGATTACCTATTGATTAAGCATTATGGTGATAGTGGACATATGTAGAGCTATTGTTTTACCACAGTAACCCTTTCAGTGACAAATGGATTGAGGTAATTAGATTGTCTAAACTCTCTTTCTATGTGTTTGGATGATTGTGTGGTAGTTATTAAGAGTAATACCCTAATTTTGTATTAATATAGTATTGATATGAAATGTTTATTATTTAGAAACTATGTGAAGTGGAATGAAAAGTTATGTTTTTAGTGTGGTGGTTTTCTAAGGCAAAATGCTCTTTTAAGTATAACTACTTATGAAATTTTATGTTTAAGTGGAAATGAGAATTTCCGGGAATGATATGTTATGACTATATATGGCTTTATTGAGCATATGTTTGGCATGATCATTGTGAGAAATTGGAAGTTTACTCTAGTGTGTTATTAGGAACATTGTTTGGAACTTCATGTAATACATTGGCACCGTGAAGGCCTCAGTGCTTAGTATTATATTGTTTAAAAGTTTCAGTACTACGAGAGGTAGATTAGGCATTGACATCCTTAATATTTGTGGACGAAAAAATTTGTGGTTCATAGTAGGTGAAGGCACTCTTGGCCAAAATTGCCTCCTACTAATGGTAAGCTTAGGCCAATCCAGTCACATGAACTTAGTCCTGTTGAATTGTCAACCCATAGATTCAGTTGGAAGACTTAAGAAAGATATAAGGTGGGATGTGGATAGTGTATATCATACTATAACTATACATGTAGATATATGATTTGTTGTATGTTTTTAATCCCACTTCACATACGCACTATTTATTCTCACACATAAATAGTTTGATTAGACTATTTTTCTTTTAGGGTGGGCACTGTAAGAAACTAGCAATTTATGTATAATGTTTATTCTTTAAGACTAACTAACTATAGGAAGATTAAAGCAAAATCATTTAAAATGGTCATTACATGATTTTTATGAAATAATAATAATAAGACATAAGAGAATCAAGTTAGAAGGGGGGTTGTTAACTTGTTATGGAGTCATACGTATAATAATAAATGGTAACTGAATTCTAAAGGGGTTCCCTGCCAATAACCCCTTTAAGGATACCATAGATGTTGCTAAACTCTTTCAGAAGGCAGATTCCTCTCTGTTAGTCGCAAGGGAAGCGATCCAATGTGCTCACTCACTTGCTAATCTATTACACAAGGTTCATATTATCTTTTGTAACTTCGATCAACTCCAACCTTCATTTGGGGAGTTAGTGGATGATGAGAAGAGTTAACAATATGTAATGACTTGATGTAAATGTTTGTCCTTAGTTTCTTGATTATTGTTGTATTCAGTCTTCATTTTGAAAAAAGTTAGAAGGGCAAAGTATATTTCCACATGCAGCATAAACAGAGGAGTTTAAGAGATGGCATGAGTGTGAGGTCATGGCGAGGATAAAATGGTGGCAAACAGAATCATGACATGCTCTTCTTCTCCTGGCTGCTCCCTTTGAGAATCTTATTAGTTTAATCACAAAATGAATTAAGTGGCTCTCCATCTACGCTTCGTCTGATTCAATCCTAAAGGCTAAAATGTGAAACAAATGAATTGTTCCATAAATATTAGGAAGCTCTTAAGTACCTTTGTTTATGCATGTTAAAGTTAGTCCCAGGACCAGGACCACCCATTACCCTAATTTATTAAATTATATAATAGTTGACTTCTTAATTGGTCAATATATTATGAATACAAAATGTCTATTTTTTAAAATCTATACCGTCTTTTCTTTAATTAGTCCATGAACATGCATAGGTATTCTCCGTTAGCTTTACAAAAAAGATTCACTGCTGATAAATCAAAGCGTCAAGAGTTATACGCAGTTGTGGTCGTGGATTGTTAATTATTAAGCCAATAATTAATACAGATGAATGATAAGAAACAGGAGGAATATAAGTGAACAAGCATGAAAAAAATGTAAGCACAGATGAAAACATGACTTGATGAATGCCTAGGTGTGGCTTGTGAATCAGAGTTTGGAGGCGTTGCGAAAGACAGTAGTGTCGAAGACCTTGAGAAAGAAGCGAGTCCTGGGAATAGAAAGCTTGTTCTGCAAGATGGAGCCAAGCGTGGCGATGAGCTTCCTCTTCACTTCAGAGTTGATTCCTCCCATCGACACTATCTCAGCATATGCTGCTGCTTCCTTGTTCCCTTCGAATGATATTGGCACCGATCCTTTCAATACCACCATCACAAACTGCACTACGTTCCATTCATTTTTGTTACATAAATACACTACCTATTCATATATGCAGAATTTTAAATTACCTTTTTGGCTATTTTGGAAGAAGAAGCACTGTTTATAAAGCTAAGAGATCGTATTTGATACCATAATATTGTTATTCAGTGATTATAACAATTTTTCAAAATCATCAATTTAGCCAATAAGAGGCTAGAGTCCCTTCACATCGTACACCGTAAGCGAAAGCTGGAAACATATAGTGGGATATAGAATCCATCATTCGTGCCACTAGGACATACATTACACAATTATCTAGTATATCATGCGGCTATATTTTACAACTTTTTAGTGCCTTGAATATCACAATATATATTTGCCGAATACAACAAAGTTAAAATGTGATTTGATGTAGGGTGTACGGTTGATATTATAATTGTTATATTTAACGCATGAATATTTAAAATATCATGGTTAATTAATTAAAATGATATAGTACCATCTAGGCAAGCGCCTTTGATCTAATATAAATACTATCAATTTTATATAGATGATGTGATGATGATCGCTCGACCAACCGAAGAATATAATAACGAGATACAATCACATATTATTAGGAGGGCTTGGGTTTGAACTTTGAATCATGATCATTTACCATTCCCTCATTACCCTTAGCATTTGAGATAATCCCAAATGGCTAATCAAATTTATAGTGATTTTTAAAATAAAAAGATGTGACGAAAATAATAAAAATATTTATAGGACTCATCTATTCTTGTTTAATTATTTATTATATTTTATTTCTATCATGCATAAAGCACTTGCTAATTAACTATTAGTGGTGCACCAGTTAGTGCTCTTGAATTGAAGCGCAATTTGCAGAAGCAGTGCACGTGCCCACCATTAATTGGTAAGCTTGTGATACGGAGGAAAAATTAAGGCATTGAAGAAATTTTGGAAGTATACTGACCATTTAATCCTTTAATTAATTCAAGCCGTACCTGTAGGGTATCTATCACCTGTTGTTTTCTTCTGCACAATTCAACGGACTTACTTTCCCCCTATTCTATTTGTTTATATAGTCCCGATTTTATTTACATTATATTATCTTATATTTACACACAAACAGACACACACATTATTGCTCGCTCAACAGCCAACTTCTTGACAACTTACTGGCTTCTGTTTGGTCTGATTATTATCAAGCGCATGAAGCATAAGGAGAGAATAATATCATCAATTTTGTCAAGTAATGCAGATCTATGCAGGCACTCAGGGTAAATATCATAAAGAATCTCTCAATGCAGATCTATGCGCAGATAGTAAGAGTAAAGAGAAAGTGATAAGTGTATTAATTTCTAAACAGCCAAGTAATCTATTGCCTAACAATATGCAAATCCATATTCTGCAGAGAATAATCAAGGAAGTCATATGCATGGATAGGATATTCTTGGTATCAACCACATATAAAAGAAATAAGATCTGATAAGCTTGAAATCAAAAGCACAAACATCTAAGAACAATGAGAAGAAAGAGGAGAGAGACCTGTTTGGGTTTTCCGATGATGGAGGAGACAGCATGAGTAGCTTCAGAAAAGATGGGATCGGTGTCGAGTTGATCCAAGTTAACGTTGGTGGTGATGTAAAGGCAAGGCATGTTGCTTGGATGAGTGATTGCTGCAGGTGGGCTCTGTAAACACACACACACACACACGCAGATCCTTTCCTTCCTATTTATATGCCAGCAGCTCTTCCACAGTTCCACCTCTTATCGTCAAGCTTTTGATGAGACACAACCTTATCCCTCCTTTTCCCGTTACTTTTTGTTTTTGTCCAAATAACTATTACTTCTGGGTCACAATAAACAATCTAATATAAAAAATTCATAAAATAATAAAATTATTTTGAAGTTTCATCTCGTTTAAGCAGTCATTATATTTAGAATTGTTCAATTGACAACTCAACCGAAATAATTAACAATTATCAAGCAGTAATTGATTAAAAAAATAAAGGGGTAAGATGCATTTTTATCCTTAAATATTTTTCAAAAAGCATCTAGTGTCATAAACCATTTGTCGTGGTAATTTTGCCTTTATAGTAATTAAAATATAGCATTATTTCTTCTAATATTAAGTACCCCAATATTGACTATTAAAAATGCTAACTAAGATTTAAGTTTAACTGAAAATATCACCCATCATGCTAATGAATCTGAATTAAAATGCATTTTTATCTCTCAACTATTCCTAAGGAGCACCTAATGTCCTAATTAAAATATTTGTTGTATAGTAATTTTTTCCTTAACATAATTAAATGTAGTATATTTTCAAACTCACTTGCATAAGTTTCGATCAGCATGTTTAACAGTCAATGTTGGGGTATTTACTGTCAAAGGAAAATATGTTATATTTTAATTATTTTAGAGACAAAATTGTCACAACATACTTGATGCTCCTTGTAAAATAATTTAGGGATAAAAATGCACCTTAACTTAAAAATAAATTTAATGGATATAATTTAAGTCTATAAGTAATTCTATGCAATATCTAAAATAATTAAGTTAATGCACATTTTTGTATTCTCATGCTTATGATCATATATATATATATATATATATATTATCATAGATTTTTTCCCAAAAAAAAAGTGTGTAACTCTGTAATTCTATATATGTACATTAATTGAAGATGATGCGTTTTTTATTTCTCGACCACACATAAGAATTAAAGTCTCTCACTTTATAACAGTTAATTATATTCATTCACAAATATGAGAGGAAAGTGGAGATATATAACTTTTGATAAATGCATTTGGTTTCTCCACTTTTAACATTAAAAAGTTATTTTTCACTTTATGAAATTAAATATTGTTTGAGAATTTTTTATGATATAAAATTGACTTTTCAAATGTGCTTTTTGAATGGGCTGAAATGGGAAAATTTTAAAAGATCGTAAGAGTAGCTTTTGAAACGTGAACTGAAAGAAAATGCATTATTAATGATACTTATTATTTTAAAATAACCATGATATCCCTCTCCTAATGTTTGTCTTATCCTCCTACTTGAGCTAATGTACGTGTTTCAGAACTCATCTTCATTCTCTCTTTTGTGTGTGTTGCTCGTCTCACTCCGCCGTCTCTCCTTCATATCTCTAGTGCTTCTCGTCCTTCTCTCCTCTATCTCTCCCCTGCCATTTGATCACAAATCTAACTCTATCCATTCTTCCGTCTCCAAGCTCCTGATCTAGCAACAGAGATGACACACAGTAGAACTTCGCAACGGCTCCAGATGGGGATGATGTACCTATTGACGGCAAGCTAACTAGAGAAGGAGGAAGCTTAACGATGTTTAACAAAAAGAGAAGGAAAAAGGAGGAAGATTGTTGTCGATGGAAAGAAGGAAAAGGAAGACGCTGAACGATGCTTGCTCTTCACATAAGGGAAAAAAATCTGAACAAAGAACAATTGAAAAAATTATAGAAAAGTTCCCAAAATTTTTATTTTACAACATAAAAGATATGGGCATCTTTGATCATTTCTTCATTATTAAAACAAAATAAAATCAACCTATTGCTAAGAAGGTTTCAAACTTTAAACTTTTAAAATATTAGTATAAGTTACAATAAAATATCATTGTCTATTTGTTATAAAATTAATTTAAATGAAATACCAATTAGGAGAATTTTATTTATTTTTAAATTTAAAATTTAAAGTAATCAATATTTTTTAAAATTTTATGTTTTTAAATTTGTTCACTTTTTTTAAACATTTCTAATATATTATATTTATACAATAAAAATTACAAATTATTATAAATCAATATTCTTTTTAGTCATTATATATTAAAAAGTATTTAAAAAAATATATTAAACATAAATTTCATCGTAACAATTAACTTTTATTAAATTAACTTTTACTAAATAAATTTTTATTAAATTTACTTTTAACAAATTAAAAACTAAACACACACAATGTTTAGTTAAAGTCATGAAAATTACTATAAAAAATATGGATTTTAGTTTAATTTCTCTCTTCACTCATCATCCTAGACGTATGCTTCAGCTTACAATGTCTGACTTTTCCTCGTATTTAAATAATATATCATATTTGTCACGTGGGTGACTAATGAAATGTGCTGTGATCATATAGCTCTCCACCTTGTATACAAATATTATACCGCCTTCCCCAACTTTATTAGCTCCTGCTCCGCTGACAACTTGCCCAAACAATATTCATACATTCAAATGGCGGAGCTTCGTGATTACAACTATGTAACCTTTACTCTTAATATTTTACACCTCTTTAAATTAAATAAAAAATATTTAAATTCAAAAATTTATTAAATTAATATATTTTAATAATTTATATACAATATAAAGAGCATTTTTATATAAAAGATCATATCTTCAATATAATTTTTTAAAAAAAAATGATAATCAATATATTTATGCTACTATAATTTTATTCCTATAATATAATTATTATCTTTTAAAAAATATTAATTTTTTATTAAGTTATTTCACATTTTTGGCTTTGAATCTTGGCTCCGCCACTACATACATTGTAAATTAGAAAGTATTTATGTGGCTAATTATTTATCTAACTTAAAAGGGATGAGGACTTTTGATAATTTTTCCTTTTTTTGTTGGCACAAATTTTAGGAAATACTCCCTCTATTCCAAATTACAGGGCACTTTTAAAGGAGTTTCTTCATCCCAAAATATAAAATATTTTGAGTAAATTAAAGTTTCATTAAATGCATCAATTTCAATATTACCCGTTTTTTTTATAATTAATTTCATCACTTCTTTTTTCAATATATTAAATGATGGATATTTTAAAAAGTTTATATTTTTGTTTTGAAAAGATAAGGCTATTAAGTTTATTTAATGAGGTTTATTAGCATATAAAATTTTATCTAAAAATGTCTTATAATTTAAAATCGAAGAATTTTTATTTTTCATAAATAATTTTAGTGGGGGGAAAAACAAAATATTGTGGGTGTTGAGTGGAAAACAATTCTAGTCCCAATTTATGAGGAGACGTGTGTAAATTGAGCATTGAGGAATGGCACACATGCAGAGATCCCACCATTACAAATGAGTGCCATGGCCATTATGTATGATCCATCATTTCCCACAAATTCTGACACTTCCACATTCATTCATCTCATTCCATCCTTCCATCATGCATCCCACCAATTTTTTCTCCTCTTCTCCTCTTCTCTTCTTGTTTGTTTTCTTCAGTAAATCACTCGACATTCGGAAACCTCCTTAAACTCTCACTAATCCACATCTAATCAAGTAAGACAGCTTTTTCTTGATGATGAACAAAGTTTCAATTGCCACTTATGAAATTAATGTCACCACTAAAGATAGCTTAAATATTTTTTGCCATACTACATATATAAGCTGACATTGGCAAGATTATCTACATCAAGATTCTCACTTTAGGATGGTACAAGATAGAAAGAAATGTCGATGGTGCTGGAGAATGCAAATATGTGTAATATGTGTTCAAAATAGAAGTGATGGTCCCATAATTGGTCATACAATTGAATATGATCTCTTATACATCATTTCGAGGACCCATCTATTAATGAAAATGGGTGTGTTGGTTGCTTGTCAAATCCTCTCTAGGCCCACTGCATTTTTTAAAATGAGAAATAATTACATATAAGAAATAAAATATAAAGACCTAAGACCAGAGACTTGGGTGGGATTGAGAATTGCAAATTGAACGGTAGCAAAGTCACAATAAGAAGAGTTTCCACGTTCAAAAAGTGTATGACTGTGCGAATCATCCCCCAATGAAAGCGACTCCCATGTTTCCTTCCCCTTTCAATATATCGCTTGCCTTCGCCACAAAGAAATTTTGTTCCAAGCTTTATGGTTTAAATTTGGGGAGATATTGCCCTGAACAAGGAGATTGCCCAAAATGGGGGGAGAGAAGAGATAAACAAAAACAGTAAGAAAAATATCACATCTTAACTTAAAATTTAAGGCTCAAGATAGTCTTTCATCTTCATTATATATTAATTATTAAAGTCAACTTTATCTGATGTGAATTTTTATATTGTTTTATGTCCACTCACACTTTAATAATTTAACAGTTTTATTTCATGTAAATACACACACATTCAATATTGATAATATGTTAATTCATTGACTGATGTTATGATATATTCTAGCTCTAGTTAATGTTCCAGTGGCCTTTCTAAATATTCTATAACAAAATATGACAAAATATATAACTTGTAGTTTTTAATTTTTTTTCTTAATTATCAATTCAAAACTTTAATTTAAAACAATTCAATCTTTATAATTTTTTAATTCGAAAGCAATTCAATCTTTATTTTTTTAGCTCAATCCAACTCAGTACTTTTATAATTTCTTAATTTAATAAACTAAAAGAACTGAATCAAAGATTGAGGACTAACTAGATATTCTAGGAAAATTTAGGAACTAAAATTATTATCTAAAAATGATTGCCTAATGGTTATAGATCATGATTTGTGTCCTCATATTGTGGGAAGAAAGATGTAGGGCCGTTCTATATATAAATAACATATACTTTTTCACGTATATCAGAAGTCTGTGATTTTTCATATTTTTTTATAATTTCAATCCTATAATGCCGCCTAGTTAACTAATTGCCATCCTTATGCATTGAATGTGCATTTAGTCGTTCACTTGCATTTTCAAACTTGTCGTTCACCACCATTAACTGATAACTTAAAAAATATATTATGAATAGAAATTCTAAACACGCTCTTAAAATTATAAACGATGCATTGAAGATTTTTTTGGTTTATGTTATCAAATTTTTTTTTTTTTTGGGCTTAGGAAAACATCTCGTGTTGGTAGTTGTCGTGATATCCTCTTGTTTTGATTGAAAACCAGACCTATAACCAAAACAAATAATTACTCTTAGTGCATTGCTGAATTATTATGAATTAGAAAATAACAAAATTGAACGAAACCTTATTTGTTTACTTGTTTTCACGTCTGTTTCCTTACATTTAAAATTACACTTAGCAAGTATTAACAGGTGCCAGTTTAGCAGGAAATTTAAATAAATGTCAATTTAATATAAAATGATAAGAGTGCATCTTTTATCGGTGATGCCAGATGGTGACTGGAAACTTAAGCTTCAACATGCTTTTAGAGAAAATGTAGGACAAACTAATGCTCTAGCTAGATATTCGCATCTTTTAGATAGGCCTTTTTGTTTCTGTGATCATTCACAAGTTCTGCCCTTGGAGGTGGAGAATGATGAGACAATGATTAACATTAATCTATAATATTTACTACTGTTTTAATGCAGTCCTCATTTTGATTAAAAAAAGAAATAACATTGAGGGCAAGACATGAAGTAAATGTAGAGAAATATATCTCATCCTCTCACCCAATTACTTGATGATAGAACATATGATATTTAGATTTACAATATTTGACATTTGTTATTATTTTAGATGTAACTTAAGCTGAATGTCCTAATCCAAATCCAGATTCGTAGGTCGTGGCTAACTCCATATCACAACAGTTTCTAATTGACTAAACATTGAACAGAATTAAGAAACTAGTTTTTAAGTTCTCTCACAAAAAATATAAATATTCATGTGATTTTAATTGGTTGGAGCTAGGCCTGAGTCTAATAAAAATAGTGCAAGCACCATTGATCTTTAACTTCAGGTTCCTTTCCATGTGTCTTACATACTAATTAATAATTACTATTTTCATATCATAATATAGGATATCTTTTAGAAGTTTTACTTAATTCAAAATATAAAACATTAAGTAACTTTTATAATTATTTTTTCAATTATACTCCTATTTTTATTTTTTGTGAAAAAATAATACATTAAAATTTTAATTATTATTATTAAAACACTCATACCGAGTATTTGATAAAGAAAAATTAAAAATATGTAAATTTTGTAAAAAAAAAAATTTAAAGTTTTAACTAACATTTTATTAAAACCATGAATATTTGACGGGAGTATATCTGGCATGCGGATAGTTTTTAAATTTTTTATAGCACTTGGCATCCCAAGGGCGATTCTTGTTATAACTTATAAACACCCGTACTACAATAAATTCCCTGTGCCCAATTAGGTGGAAAACTGTAAGCAACATTGACAGCACCAGATTGAGTTGACTTGAAGTGACCAAGTGAAACTTGTCAACCACCAAAATTTAAAAGCAACATCAGTTATAACTATGGAGAATGCAATGATCAACTACCCGAATGCTAGCTTACTCTTTATATTAAGTTAAAAGTTTCTTTGTAAAATCCCAATGACATTATGTCAAGCAAAATCTACACCTATCGGCCTATCCAGAAACTTACAAACAATATATATAAAGCAATCGCTCTGATGAATAATGAAGAGCAAGAGCATCAAAAAGATCATGTTAGTAATGTGCATTCTCTATACAGTCTGAACAACCTTGAGTGCCTCATTGACTACAGGGCAATAGCTGACAAGAAACACCTTTTGCCAACGACTGATTTGCAAATTTCTTGCCATCCCTGACCTTCCTTATAATTCTCAACCTGTCATTTGAGTTTTAAGATATATAAACATGAAGCTACATCTAATATATCACCATACTAGAATATTTAAAAAAAAACTGTTATACTTACATTATCTAAGATGTTCTCACCAAATTTAACTCCCCCAATCACATAAATTGAATCATTGACAACTGTGGCAGCAGAATACCCCCTAGGATGATTCATGGGCTCCACCATCATCCATGTCTCAAGTCGGGGATCAAAAACCTCAACAGTGGGAACCATTGCGTCTCCATCAAAGCCACCTAGAGCATACCTACACGTAAATGTTAGAATTTAAGTGATGCATGTATCAGTTAAGCTTGGATGTTTTGAAAAGGAAAGTAAAATCCGCAGCCACACCAGCAATACTTTGTATAGTGTTTTGACCCTGTTAGTGATCACGAAGTTTTTTGACAGTCATTGGCAGATATGTTGAGAGCACCCCAAACAAGTACTACATACTTATAGAAACAAGAAATCTCCTGTTAAAATTACTTCAAGCAACTTAAGAACGACAATTTGGCTTCTCAAGACATTGCATCCAATTCTTCCCACATGCTTTTCAAAATCATGCCGCGGATGTGGTCAACATAAATTGTACTGGGAGGGTAAACCAATTCAAGTTCAACTCATAATTTACAATGAAGGACGCTAGCCCAAGTCTCAGCATCATTAAGATAAACAATGAAGAAAATCAGAGAAGGAAAAGGAGAAGTTGAACTCACAACTTTTCATTTAGGGCAACCAACGAGTGGCAGCCCCGCTTTGCATTCATGTTTGCTATTTTGGTCCAATGATATTCCCTAGGGTCATATCTTTCAGCAGACCTAAAGAAAGTTTGAAGTGCCACTCCCATTAATTCAGATATAAATGTAAAATTGAACATAAATACTCTTAGGCAATGTTTGGCACATGGAAAAGTGTTATCTAGAAAGGACATGAGAAATGTACCCAGAAAGAAAATGAGATAGGTGCATTTCTCAATTCAGATCAAATCAAGATCAAATCATATTCAGAAGGTCGGAGCAGAGTATTAAAATCCTACAGAGATTCTAAAGTACAAATCAACTCTATTTTATGCTGCCTTCTAGTAGAATTTGAGAAGACAACTATCTGATGGAAATAAGAATGTCAGATCAACAATCAGAACAAAAACCCACTCAACAGGACATTATTATTCCATGGATCAAAAGAAAACATGGTTGAGAACTGTGAAATGCCACTGTCATCATTCTTTCAAGCCAGTTTGTTCCCTAGTTTTATGATTTAATCAAGTCAAGTCGACAACAATTTTCTAGACAAAGACTTGGCTGATAAGGAATAGTATAGACATTTTCTCTGATAACATTTATCAACTTAAATTAAATCAACCAAGCATACAGCTTAGTGGCAAGATTGTTATGTACAATAAACAGTAATACATCCACACACCGACAAGTTCACCAGAAAAACAGTAACACATAAATTCCAGCAAAGCTCAACATGTGATAAATATGAGAAAGATCATAGATCTTCTAAACATAGGGATCATAATGCATGTATTAGTAGGAGTGTCATGCAGATATTTTATTGGTAATGGACACCTATATGGACAGGTCCTGCTAGTGCTTATAAATAGGGGTCTTTGATATCAATGAACTGATTAAGTTGAAGGAGATAAAGCCATAAATCTTACTGCAAATAGTCATTCCCATCAAATCCACCAGTGACGTAAATAACACCATTGGATTCCACTGCAGCAAGAGCAAACCTCTGAAAATGTAAAAGCACAGTCCTGAGTTCAATGATTGATTTGGATGCTTTTCATAAACAAGTAAACCAAAAGGCCTAATGTCTAAAGAGACTAGGTCACGCAGATCTGTGACTTCATATTCTAAAGTGTCTAATGTACAAAAGAATTAAAAGCATGAGACCAACCATATTGCTTCCATGTCCAGTGGAAAACAGCTAACAAAAGCAATTCATAAAAGTAAATCAATTGTAATCAAATATTTGTTACAGACTGGCATTTTGAGAAGCTAGCCTCAAAGCACAAGTTGAACGCAAACCCTCAGGTCTTTTGAAGTAATGCATTATCATAGCTTCTCTAGCATCAGATTGTATATCATGTATTACAGACAAGGTAATATACATTACCTTCTCTAGCATTGAACGAACATAGATCCATCTTCCTATGTCTAAATCAAGCATCTCAACTTCTGAATAACAGTCAATTCCATTGCCTCCACCAATGGCAAATATTTTGTTGCTTAAACCAGCTCCAGCGAGACTTCCTTTCTTCTGATTTAAAGATGGGCACGAGGTCCACTTGTCACTAATTGGACTGTATGACTCGACTACATCAACAAGATATGGAAATATCAAACACTTCATTCCAGCTAAATGTTGAAATGTAAATGGTAAATTCAGGAAGATATTGTACCTGTGTCATACCAAATACAGCCATTTCCACCACCAAACACATAAAGCTCCCCATTCAACTGCACAGCTGAAGCATAGGAGCGAACTGAGCTCATGGGCCTCAGAGATTTCATCACGTTCAGGGAAGGACAATACAAATCCATAGATGCTAAGGATGATTCTCCATCATAGCCTCCTATTAAAAACAATGACTCTTTAAGGTCTAAATGCTGATGATCAGAAGGCTGAATGATTGTCTTGTCATCATGCTCCAGAGAAAGATTACATGCAGATTCTAATATTGTACAGCGGTCTTTTAGATGGTGAATTTCCAATTCTGCCATGACCTAGAATGACATAAATAGAAATTGACCAAAAATTCCATGGCATGATACATAAATATGAATGTCTAAGAACAGGATATAATGAGTAACAATTAAGGCTGCAAGTGCCTAATCTACAAATTTTAGGACTTCACACAGTAGCCGAACCCTATTTTCAATGTAGTGATAATTACTTAACAAGAATACATAGATGAAACAGGCTGAAGAATTTCAGATATAGTCAAGTCAGATGAATACCATGGACATTTGAATACATGCAAGCAACATAAATTAAAGATGCTATGGATGGGAAAACAGTTAAGAGATGTGACATGATTTAGCAAGCATAAACAACAAAATAAAGAGTACCAGCTTCTGCTCTAGATAATGACACTTCTGAGTTTGTGTTTCCTTGAAAGCTGTCAATTCTTTGACCTCTTGCATCAACTGAAAATGCACCAGAAGTTAATTGCTGGAAGAGAAGAATTAAGGGTTTAGCTATTTCCATCAAACACATTCAACTACCTGGGCTATGATGTCATGATACTCAAATGGAGGACTAGGACACTCTTCCTTCTCCAAATCAGTTGATGCCTCTAGACAACCCTTCTCAGCAGAGTTCATGTTATTCACATCAGGAGTGCCTTTCACGTTGTCTGACAAAGAAATGTTTTGACTTTTACGATTCAAAGCCAATTCTTTTAGTCTCATGAGTATAAGGGATTTTTCATCCTGTTCTGCTTCCTTTGATACCCCATGATAATCCAACTGCTGGATATCCCTATCAGCATCCAAGGAAGAAGCAACTCCAGGAGAATGATATCTGCTAGTTGATTGAGTAGAATGTTCTACTTTTGATGTTTGTTTTTCAAATACTTCATCTTTAACTGAAGTTTCATGCGATGGAAGAGATTGAGATACAGTTCCCCACTTCATTGTATTCTGTGGTATATAAGTACCCGGCCAATGGCTGAAGATGCTAGCAAGGAAATAAGCTTGCTAGCTTGTCCATGGTCTAGCTCAAACCAGAAGCGATTGCCATGGTAGTAATTGTCAGCAATTACTTTCCTGAATGTATCTTCAGACAGTGGCTGGCACTGAAGCCGGATACAAACTTGCACCTTAAACATTAATACAAACGTCAATCATGACCAAGATCACACACAATAGAAGTAGAGCTAAATCAATCAAGAGTTTAGCAGGTATATATTAACCTGTGCAGGATACTGTGTTCTCTCTGAGCCATTAGCAGTCCATCCATAAGGGTCTATAGACATTTTCCCCTTGCTAGCCGCCTCAAAGATTCCATGAAGCTTCCTGTCACTATAGTTGAACAGAAAGAGAGGCAGCCCAGGTTCAATATTCTTCACATAAGAGAAGTGTTGAGCTGGTAAGCCTGAGAAAAAGTTAAAACCCAAGTATAAATTCCTTAAGCACAATGATGTTTTCATTGTTTTGTAGTTTGTTTGAAACATATCTGCGTTACATCTCATAAAGGATGGAGACTTGTAATGTGCACGCAAAAAATACCACTTTTAGTGTTTTTTCGCATCCTACAATAGCTATTCCAAGAACTTCTGAAAAAGCAATCAAATGCAAAAGACTAACCAAAGAGCTGTTTAGATAAACATTCTTTTATGGTAGCAGTCTTGCAACCAAATATTACACCACCAAGTTGATCTTTTTTCAAATTTCTGCCACATACAGAACTGACAAGTGAATTCGGAGCCAGAGATTGAGTCCCGCTGAGATAGAATGTTTGCGTTTCCCTTCCTGCCCCCATCCTAATATAAAAGGGGATAACTCAAAGAAAGAAAGAAACAAACCTCAAAGAAATATAATTTATCAATATGCTGATCATGTATCCATCAAATGATCAAAACTTTCAAAATGTGCCAAAGTACCCCCCAATACTAAATGGAAAACGTAAAAGCAAATAGCATGCAAGCGTTCCCGCCCCTCGAAACAAATAGCTACTGCAACAGGTTTGCTTTTTCCCCTATTGTAAGTTATGAAAAAGGTCCTTTTCTGGGTAAAATTTGAGGGAATCATAGTATGCATGCAATTCAGAAAAATTCCATTATAAAAGTTGAATATTTTGAAGACTTCAACGAAAATGGATTGAGATAACATACAAATACAGTAACTCAAAAAACAAAAAAATGACATCAAAATTCTAGAATATGATCCCTGACCATTTTTGCATACACAAACTGTTAAGACAAGAAGCGTAAAGAAAGTGTGTGATATGAACTCAAAAGAGAATCAAACCAATCAATGTTAACATCACATTTTTGAGATTTACCAATACATAGAATAGGAACTTAAAACCAAAATAAAGGGAAAAAGGATGGGTAAGATAAACGCTTACAAACTTTAAGCATTAACTTCAAGTCCGCAAGACAGTATTGAGTCTAGCACATGTCCCAATAAAATTAACAAATATAAAAGTATATGATTCTGATTAGCAATAAAATAATAATAATAATGTCAATGCCACGATGAAATTTCCGGCAGGGAAGTTTATCCATAATCGCAAAGTGATCCTGGAAAACATTCCGATTCAGAGGACCCATTCATTTCCATTTATGGCCGAATAACAAGGGTTTAGAAAGCTAGTTCTTCAATTTATCAAGAAAAAAAAAACAAAGAATGCCAGTTCTTGAAAAAGAAAAAAGTTCTGGTATTCTGCTGAAAGGCATAACAAAGAAGAACGCCTGTCGGAATATGAATTGAAAGAGACGAGACAGATGACAACCCGGGAAAAAAAAAGACGAACTCAAAAATTCGTAACTGAGCAAATGATCTTGAACCCTAAGACTCATAAGCGCAGAAATCACCAGAAATTTTCAAAAACTAAGAGTTCATTGCGCTTAAAATAAATATATAAAAAACTATAATAAAGATTCAGCATTTTGCTTGCCCATAATTCCTAGAATACAGAGATGATTAACAGAGTATGCAAAAGAAATGGCAGAGAATGTGAGTTTGAAAAAAGAAAAGTACTCTGCTAAGTTGAGGCTTGAGATAGTAGGAGGTTCGTCGTAAGAACACAAACCACTAACCAGCGCCAAATGCAAACGGAGGTACGGAGCAAACAGCGTATATAACGTGGGAAAATTGCTTTCAATCCCGCCCGATATAATCAATTATTTTTAGGTTGATTGAAAACTGCCGTCATTCTCCTAAATTTAATTATCAACAATTGTTATTCTTTTAAGTCTGTCAACTTAAAAGTAATTAATTATGTTAGGTAAGATTTGAATGTAATTTTCACATATAATATAGCAAATGAATATACCATAGGCTTCTTTAATTAGTTACTCATACTTCCTCCCTTCAAAAACATTTGCATTTTTTAAGGGTTGGAAGCTAAAGAGTGAAAGATATTTTTAATATTTTAAAATATAATTAATATATTTTTAAAAAGTGTTTATAATAAATAAATAAATTATTTTATATTTATTTTAAAATAAAATATTATATTAAATAAAAATAAATATAAAAATGATGCTAATTTGAAAACAAATGCTCCCTCCATTAAAAAATATAAAGCATTTTTAATTTTTTAAGTGTAATTATTGTCTTTTTTTAAAAGTATTTCTATTGATAATGACTTTATATTTATTATAAAATATTTAATATGAGTAAATATAAAAAGATAAAGTTAATTTAAAAGTAACTAACTATTTATTAAAAGTGAGATTCAGTTAAAAATATTTTATATTTTTTAATGGAGGGAACAAATATTTTTATTAAGAGCAAGATTGAGTTAACAATACTTTGCATTTTAAAATAAAAGGAGTAATAATTATGAGAAAAAAAATTATTTGAAACTATCTGCCCGATGCTATGCATTTTTTTCTTTTATTTTTGTTTGCCAACTATTTTACATTTACAAAAATCCTGACAGGTTCAAACTTATATGTGGCTTTATTTTTTTAACAAGATTAAACAAAACAAGCCATATTGTTACATATTACGTAAAATTCATGTGAAAATAAATAGAAGATATTTATTAAATTAATTTATAAGATATGTTAAGACAAGCTTTTAATTTTTTTTGTTATGTCCTCGACTTTGTTTTATTTGTAGAGTATATCGCAATATTATATATATATTTTTATGATATCAATGTAATTAGATGTTTTATGCTGTTTATAAAGACAACAAGTGTAAAAGGTGAATTTTCTAGGTAGCCGTCAACTAGCATAAAAAGTTTGACGCAAATTTTTGGTGCATTAGTGTAAAAAAATTAGATGCAAGAATTTTAGGGTTTATTTAGTTTCTATTCTTATTTTTTATTTTTAAAAATTATTTTATATTATAGTTTCTAAAATTATTTTTTTAAAACAAAAAAATGAAAATCCATTTGATTGTGTCAATTAAAAAATAGATTGATAATGATAATTATATATGGTTAATGATGGCAATTAATAATATAAATTAGTTAAAGAAACTATAATTTTAATAATTAAATATAATGTATTTTTAAAATAAAAAATAACATGAAATAACATGAAGTTGTTTCTATTTTTTTATTTAAAAAAAAAAAATTTTTAAAAACAATCAAATGAAAAACATTTATTCCAAATAAATTTTAAATTTTTTTTCTATTTTTAAAAATATAAAACAAGCAGGCTCTTATTTCAATTTCATTATACTTTTGTTTTAATTTTCTTCCCACCTTCTACCAGTTATTTTTATTGTTAATATATCATATTTGATTTTAAAAAAAAATCGACAAGCGTTGTCCTAGTGTAATGAGCTATGATCTCTTAAATATAAAATGTTGAAGTATGGGTGAATACCCGAAACAAAAATAGTTGGAAGAACTTTCCTCAATTAAATTCAAAATATATGAATTTAACTTAGTCAAATAATTATATAAAAAAATAGACATTTTATATTTTGTTCATATTATTTGCATGATTATCGCATACAAATTATGTTTGTGACAAAGATTCCACATTTTTTTAATCTTTTGCCCTTATTGCTTTTGTGCTTAATATTTAATAATATCTAGATGTGAATAGATTAAATATAATTTTTATGTTATATACTTAGTTTTGCCTTGATTATTCCTTTTTGAATTATTTTTCATAATATTTGAAATATTTATACAATTATTTTTTATTTTTATTTGTAAAAAATAAAAAAACAAAAAATGCTGGATACTTTTAAATTTATTTTATTTCTTTTTAGCTAAAATTTTATTTTTATACCATTTATATACATTCTCTATATCAAACAGAACTATTAAATACAAATATTTTTCATTATTACATCCTCTATTCATATTCTACGCATGATAATGGAACACACGTTTCACTTCATTTCTCTATGTGGTTACGCTCACGTTGCTAGTATTTTCAAATTTTAATTACTACTTCTAGGTCTATTCATAAAAAAATAATTTATACTCCAGTTAAAATAACTAGAGTTAAAAAAATTATCAATTTTTGTTACAGACACACACCCCAAACATGTGTATTTGTGTTGTGTAATAGATACAGTATTTTCTTTTCTAGTCTATTTATAAAAAAAACTTATAATAATTATGTCACATTATTAAAGCAAACCAGAGATAGAAAGAAAGTAGCAGATGAAAAACAAAACAGCCAAGAGAGGATATTGAACATGATACATATAATTAAATACAGTAGAGCAAACTCTATGCATCTCCCTGAAAATAAAACGTATGGTCTTGAATATAACCACTTCAACCTCATCAATATTCGCTTAACTTCAATTCTTTATTTTTTTTCCCCTTGCTTTTTTCACTTTGGGTCCATTTGATTTTCTTTCATTTCACATTCAAAAAATAAAATTTTATTTTTAAAAAGTTGAAAATTGTTTGGGTAAAATTTTACAGGAAACCACATCCTGAAAGCATATTCAAATAATGGCTGAAAGTGAATTTTTAAAATATAAATATTTGAAACATTTGACAAGTGAATTTGAAAAGTATGATGTTATCTGATCATACTACTTCAAATTTAATATCTTATTTTTTTATTTAAAAAATAGTTAGTTCATTAAAAATATAATTTTGTTTCAATAATAATAATTACGTATCAATTTTTTAGTATTATAAATTGAATAATTAATCATGTTAATTTTTAACATTAATGTATAATCAAAATTACAAATCTTCATCACATTTTCTAAAATTATAAATTAAAAAAATATAAATAACTAGAGATCAAATTTTTAGCATTATAGATCAAAATTTATGTTATTTAAAATCTTTATTACATTTTTAAAATATTTCAAATATATTACATTTGTATAATAAAAATTGTAAATCATCATAAATCAATATTCTTTTTTATAATTGTACATTTAAAAGTACATTTTATTATCAAAAATCAAATAACTTTTAGTATATTAAATTGACTTTTGAAAAAATGTATCTAAATACAAATTTCATTACAACAATTGACTTTCATTAAACTAATTTTTATCAAATGAACTTTTAACAAATTGAAAATCAAACACACACTTTGAAAAATTATCCTCCTCCCCTTCCCCTACTTCATCATAGTATTCTCGTCTTTCCTTTAAAGATTGTTTAATTCTTACAAGAGAATCTTCCAAACAAGACAATATTAGGCTGAATTCAGTGGTTAGTTTTCATGCACTTGGGTTGGATTGAGCCAATCCAATGTACATGATCAAATCAATATAATGCATCAAAAATTCACATGTCTTAATTTCATTAAAGATAAGCATGTTATGTATACAAGATTTATCTTTCCTTGTTTACATGATTTTAACTTAAGAAATCAATTTAAAATTTTAAAGAAAATTAATAGATTGGATTCTTAAAAGGTTTCTTGCTAATCATTAAGTTAATTCATATAATATAATATAATATATTTAAAAAAATATATGCACATTAAAAATAGGCTGTTGTGACTAATTAACCAAATGAATAATTAAAACAGACTTGAGGGATTAAAAATTTTATCCTTAACCATGCACACGTTAATTATTTATACTACCCTCCCTGTTTTCAATTACAAAACATATTTTAAAAAAGTTATTATTTCAAAATAATACTATAAATTATTTCAGTAACTTCTGAAAGAAATTAATATATAAATGACCCTTTAAAAATTAAAAATTATTAGATTCATAATTTATGATGAAGTGGGTAGAATGGGAGAGAAAAATATATTTAATGAGGACATATTAAAAAAAGGATTATAAATTTTTTTATATAACAATTATCATCTAATGATTTTCTTGTCGTGTATGAAGTATGATTATATATAACTTATAATTATAAAAATATAGAGGGCATACTCCCAAATATGGGGATGGTCTGGTTAAATAAAAGGAATAGGAAGATATCAAAGAAAGTGTTGTATATAAATTATAAAACATATTGTAACTATTATGGGCATATGTAATAATGTAAATCATGAAATAGCTAGGCATATATAACTTGTAAAACATATATAAATTGTGAAATAGTCAACGTCTGTTAACAAAGACTGCAATGAGTGCTATCCCTTTAAGAATATTATTGATGATACTTGATTTTTATATCATAAGAATTTTATCTATTTTGCACATCATCCCTCATTTCTCACCTAAAAAATAGCGGGTGATGAAAGTAAGAGTGTTTAAAATCAATTCAAACTAATAACATTAAATCAAATTGAATCAAACAAACATGAATCGATTAAAACTAATTATGAATAATGTTTGGTTTGATTTTTCTATTGACAAAATTGATTAATTTAGCTTGGTTCAAGCTTTTATCTCTTAAAACTAGAACCAAATCAAATTAAACCTTATTATATTTGTTTTATATATTTTTATAAAGTTTCCTAAGTTTTTTCTCATTCCTCAATTTAGTTATTTGTATATCACTAATGCAAAATCTATTACAATTAACAAAACATTGTCTATAATTATTTTTGATAATTTTTTTAAAATTTATAATCAAGTATTTTAAAGATAATATATTTGTTTTAAACAGTTAAATGTGTTAATTATGTTCAAAAATATTCTTTTGTACTCATGATTTTTTTGTTCAAAATAGTAATTAATAGTTAAAATTTATAAGTAAATATGTATATATATTGATTAAAAAAATATTTCCAAAAAAATTCAAACTTAAACCAAACCCAAACAGTTTAAAAAAATAGGTTTCAAATATTAATAAATTGTCAAAACTAAACTAAACGAAAACTATGAACACTCTTAAATAAAAGCAAAGACTTAGGAACTTTTATTATGATGTAAATGCATTTATTCTGTTTTAAAAAAAAAAAAAAAAACCCATCACGGCAAGATTTAGCATGACAAACGGACACTCGCTCTCCACCAACTTCAACGAGAACCCCTTTCCCCGTCTTCAAAAATTTACCTTCTGGCTTCTGGTCATCTGGTGATTTGATTTTTCCTTTTCTTTTTCTAAAAAAATCTCACGGAAAATGAATTTATTGATTTACAGATCAGAGAATTGTAATCAACCACTGTGATTTGTTGTTGCATGATTGAAGGAAACGGGCCCTGTTGATCTGGTCACCCGCTAAAACATTTCCATTTTTGTTTCATTTCCATTTCATTCATATCCCTGTTTCATTGTAAATCTTCTCTGTTTCATTAAAAATCTTCTCCCTCAGCCCAACCAATGGCTCACGTGACTCAATGCTGCTGCACGCTTATGCTGCTAATTTCTTTAAACCACATGTCCACACTCTTCAGCCTCTATAACCTATGCAACTATTCTATACCTCAATTTTGAATTCTCTGGCATGAAAATTGTATTACATTATTTATATTCAAAATTCAATTTTTGTGAGATTAGTACAGATTGTGAGAGCTTTCATTTGTTACATATTTATAAAACGGCCCAGCTAACCCGGCTCCGATCGGCTCTCTGTGACTCGGCCTGGTCTCAAAGCTGAAGCAATTGTGGTGTGGCTGGGGCACATGATCGATGATGATGCTACAGAGACCGTGCCATGGCTCTCTCTCCCACGCGCTGGGTCACCTCGTCTCCTTTCAAATTGACTCCTTGCTTGATTGCTTGCTTAACTTTCGTCCATTCCCCAACTTTAAACCAAAATCCCCGCTCAAATAATCTTTGCCTTTCCCTCTCTCGTCCTTCTTTTGCCTTCCCTGTCCCTTTCTCTCATTGTTTCTTTCTCTTCCCCCAGTCGCTCTCTCTCTCTCTCTCTGTAACACACTCGATAACCTGATAAAGTTCCGCTCTTGGCTGCATTTTTCAAAATCCCGCTTTCAAATCTGCCCCCATTTTCCGTTTCTCCCATAAACTCCATTGGCAGTCTCTCTCGCTTCTTCACAATCCCCATTAATGGATTCCTCCTCTTCTCCCATGCCCGTCCGGGACCTTCCAGAAGCTTCCCCGAAACCTTACAAGAAAAATTTCGTCACAACTTTAATGGAGGCAGCCACTCTTCGGACTCCTTCCTTCAAAGAAGATACCTACTTCATTTCCCACCTGAAATCTTCCGAGAAGAAGGCTCTTCAGGAGCTCAAGGAAAAGCTCAAGGCCTCTGATTCCTCTGAATGTTCCATGTGGGGTGTTTCACTTCTTGGAGGTGACGAAAAATCTGATGTCATTCTCTTGAAATTTCTGAGAGCCAGAGATTTCAGAGTCGGAGATGCTCTTAACATGCTTCTGGAATGCTTGGCTTGGAGAGAGGAGTTTGGTGCAAACGACATCGTTGAGGAGGACTTGGGGTTCAAAGAGCTCGAAGGGGTTATAGCCTATATGCACGGGCATGACAGAGAGGGACGCCCTGTGTGCTACAATGCTTACGGGCTTTTCAAAGATAAAGAAATGTACGAAAGAATATTCGGTGACGAGGAGAAGCTTAAGAAATTTCTGAGATGGAGAGTGCAAGTTTTAGAGAGAGGTATTAAGCTTCTTCATTTCAAGCCTGGTGGGGTCAATTCTATTATTCAAGTTACTGATCTTAAGGACATGCCTAAGAGAGAGCTTAGACTGGCTTCTAATCAGATCCTCAATCTGTTCCAAGACAATTACCCAGAAATGGTGGCTCGTAAGGTACATTATTTGTTTGTCTTGTCTTTTGTCGTTTTACTGGAAAAATGAGACATGATGGTTCTCTTATTCTTTTGATGTGGTGGAAACTTCACTACTCTCTCTGTCGGGCTTTTAGATTTTCATCAATGTCCCGTGGTACTTCAGCATGTTGTATTCAATGTTCAGTCCTTTTGTGACCCAACGAACTAAGAACAAATTTGTGATCTCTAAGGAAGGAAATGCTGCGGAGACACTCTACAAGTGAGTTGTTTGGTTATGCTTCCTCTTGGTTTAATCTCTTATCATGAGCAAAAGAACTGTTTGTTTTAAACTTTTGTTTGGGTTTTGTTTATTGGTTTTTAATGTCCAAGCTGTTCTTCTGCATTACTTATTTCTCCCTTCAAATAAAATCCTCACATGCCCTGAGTTTCTCTATTGGAGTTCATTAGGGTTTGCTTTCTGAAACGCAGATTGTTTTGTTGTGGTCAGATTTATAAGGCCCGAGGATATTCCAGTCCAGTACGGAGGGCTGTGCAGCCCCATTGATTTGCAGAATGGTCCCCCAAAACCTGCATCTGAGTTTACTGTAAAAGGAGGGGAGAAAGTGAACATACAAATAGAAGGAATTGAGGTGATATTCCTTAGTTACACCTTTCTCATGCTCGAAGTTTAATCTTCAATAGTTAGTACTTCAATTAGGTGTGGACAACACAGCATCATTTACAAAACCTGGAAGATTGTAAGTGCAGTAACAGTTGAAGAATTCAAATGAGAATTGAATCTAACATCGAACAGTATAAATAAATAGAACTTGTAGCTGGATTGGATCATAATGTGATGAAATGAAGTGTCTACAGGCGGGAGCAACAATCACATGGGATATAGTGGTAGGAGGGTGGGACTTGGAGTACAGTGCTGAGTTTGTGCCAAGTGCAGAAGGAAGCTACATGATAGCATTAGAGAAGGCGAGGAAGATGGGGCCATCAGAAGAAGCAATACACAATTCATTCACATCAAGAGAAGCAGGCAAGTTGGTACTGTCTGTGGATAACAGCGGCTCTCGCAGGAAAAAAGCTGCTGCATATCGCTACGTGGTGCGCAAATGCAGCCCCAACTAAAGATGTTGTTCCGTGCTTTACTTACTGCCCATGTTTGTATGCTTTTTTGAAATACTAGAGGTGGTGTCATGATACAATGTAAAAAGGGAGAAGGTACTGCTTTGTTCTATGTGATACAACCGAGGCTGTTCACTTTTGCTCATGGCAAGCAAATGCCTATTGCCTGTGCAGTGCTTTTTGTTCCAGCTGTGCTTTAGTTTCATTCAATTGAAGTAAGGAGTATGATTGAGCTTTGATTAATCCCAAGTTTTGAAAATTGGGATAATGAATTTCAGAGGAAGAGGTCGAACGAAAGCAGAGCCTGGGATATGCAAGTGTGGAAGTGTGATTTGATATTTTCTGAGTTCCAATGCCAACCCATCAAATAGTTCACTGGTGCCTATTGGTGCCTATTTGTGCCTTCTGGTTGTAGATATGGTTATAGTTTGAAAAATCATTATAACGTTTATAAAACTAGAAGTTCCTGCATACCGGCAACAGAAATTAAAAGTTCCTACTTTTTTTTTTTTCAAAAGTTATTCATCTTGTTTTTTTTTTTTTTACATAATAAAATTTCTATTTTTGAATGTTGATTTAGTACAATTCAATCTTTATAATTTTAATTTGGTTAAAAATCAGTCTGTAAGCTTTGATTTTTTTCAATTCAAATTCTATAATTTAAAAAATAAAATTATGAAGATAAAGCTATTATTGTAGCTTTAAAATTAATATTTTAAATGATTAAAATTACAGAAATTGGATTATATTGACTTAAAGTTCATAAATTAAATTATAAATGAGTTAAACGATACAAATTGAATTGTACTGAATGAAAATTAATGGATTGAATTATAAACTAGTTAAAATCGTGGGACTCAATGGTTAGTTCTTTTCTTTTCTTTTGTTTTTATTTTTTTTGCACCAAGGTAATAAAACAAACGCTTAGATGAGATGAGGTTTAAATTTTTATGACCAACAAGATTCAGTAAATTTTACCAAGAATAAATATAAATACTAATAATTAGAGACCTTTAAAATAGTGAAGAAAATTAAAGAAGAAAGTGTCACTAAAATATAAATTCGTGAACCATTAAGGGCGAAGGGGGTGAAATTCCTGAACTGCTCACCTTTCGTCCGAAAGCTTGTGCTTCGCTGCTAGCCTGCTACCAAAAGCTGCGCTTTCATTATCCTTTTAACTTTTATGGTAATTAACTTAAAGTTCGAAATTAAGAGAACTAATGTAATTTGAAAGTACGGTACTTTCTTTATATCACTTCATGAGATTTTTTTTTATAAAAATTATTTATATTAATAAAATTTTTTAAATTTACTTTACAATCTTCTATTCTTAAAATATAAATATAAATTTTTAAAAATATTCTTTATTTGATATAATTTTATTTATGAAATATTAAATAAAGAGAAAATAAAATAAATAAGGAGGGAAAATATTGAAACAAATATAATTAATGAAATTTTATTTTTGTTAAAGTATATTATATTTTGAGATATCAAATTATCTATAAAAATTTTTTATAATTTAGAAAAGATTATTCCAATTGGTCTAATCTCATAAAAAAAAGAGGAAATATTACATTTTTTTTTTTACAAATACACCCTTTGTTAAAAAATATAAGGTATTTTTAACTAAATTTTATCTCCTAATAAATTAACTAATTGTCTTTTAATTAATACTATTTTTTATATTTACCCTCATTTAATAGGGTATTTCACTTTAAAATAAATATAAAATTAAATATATATTAATTACACCTTAAAATAATAAAATAATCTTATATTTTTTAACTTTCAATTTCTCAAAAAAAAAAACTTGCATTTTTAAACAAAGGAAGTTAAAAAAAATATGTAAAAGTGGAAATATTTGGGGAGCACATTAGGTGCTCATTAGAGGTGATGACCTCTAAAATAATTTTGATCATTCAAATTTAAATTGGATGATCTAGATCTAAATATTTTATTTTTTACTTATTGTTTTAATAAAAATAAAAATTTATAAAATCTTTAATAAATCTATTGATTGTCCATATGTATAGTTCATTAGGTAGGTCCAAATTTGATATTAATTTTTATAAATTGATCATACAGATTTACTCTTAACAATTCAAGTTCAAAACTTTGAACTTTTAATTAAAAAAAAACTAGGAAGATTTAGTTAGGAGATTATCTTTATTTTTAATATTGTACTTACTAAAATAAAAATTTATAAAAATTATAAATAATTAATATTAAACTAGGCTATTCAAAATAAATTTGAATAATTAATTTATAAAAATTATTTAAAAATTTAATAAGGTAAATTGGTGAAAAAGACCTAGTTAAACAAAAATTATGCCTAAAGACCAATTGCATTTAAAGGACCATTCTGAATAAAATATTCATAAAATAATCTAACTAAGTCACAAAAACACCCCTCCTCCATGAGACGATTTTCAGCATAAGAAGTGAGTTGTGACTTGGACCCTTCATCGCTTCACGTGCGACCATACGTGACCACCATTGTATGACTCTTCTCTCAGAGGACTTCAATTCCTCTCTTTGCATGCTCTTCAACTGTGTTGTGCCACTGTGTGTTCATGTCTGCGGAGGGCAATTTGCGGTGAGAGAGAAGCAACTTCAAGCAATGTGAAAGGTAATTTTCAACAAAGATTTCCTCTCTTCTTCTGCAAGATTTACTTCCCCCATTATCTCCTGTTCTTCTAGAAGTTAGGCATATATTCCCAAGCTTGAACTTTTTAGCTGATCTAAGGCTGAAAGGGCTATCAAAGAGACTCTGTTGATTCATAAATATGAAATAAAGATTGCAAGTATTTTTCTTATAATTTATTATTGTTACAGGTTCACGCATTTCATTTTGTTTGGACATAAACATTTCTTCTCTTTTGATGGGCATTGACTTTCGCTTGAGTGCTTTCCTTTCTCATTGGTTGGTTAATGGTTACCTCTTGAATGTATTAATTAAGTTGATAATTGATAGAAGTTACTATATGAACCCAAAGTTACAAATTTGCAAGTATCATTCAAAGGTTCAAATTTATTCAACCTAGAACAATATTTTTTGACTAAGGACTCCTTTAAATGCCTAAATGTAATGCTGAACTGAACTTTCTAAATTAATTGCGTACTGCACTTTTGAATTGTCAAATAGTAAGTAAAAAATAATGGAAAATTGATTTGTAAATCTTGAATGTTATACATTAAATGCAATTACATCCACAAGTTTGATGAAGAAATTTTTGCCCTTCATAATTTCAGAACAAAATTTTAATGTATTTCCCTTATAACTTATTTTTTTGTTTTGGTTTGCCCAATCACATTACTAAATTTTAGCTACATCTTGTTTAGTCCCTTAGACAAGTGGGTTGCATTCTTTAAATAATCAAAAATCCACCAAAAGATGCCTCTTTGCTATACCAAATCCTTGGTATATACTTAACTATGTGTCTGTAACTCTCTGTACTTTATAATGCATTGTCTCTCTCTTTATGGGTATGCAATATTAACCATTTTTGAGGGTTCATATAAGGAATGTTCAATACTTGTGATCCAAATCAAAGTATAGTAGTGAATGTGAGTATAATATCATGCGGTGTGAATTTTTCATTTCATTTTCCTTTTTATTGTGTTCTTGTGTTCTTTCTTGATGATTATATTTTTAATTTTTTTCTAGAATATTCATTCATCCCCTTTCATTTTGAGATCATTATCCTATTATTTTGTGCCATGATCATTTTTGTTGGTATTCAATTATCATATGCTTTGTAATTGATGTAAAAACTTTTTGAATAAGATTCAATGGCTGAATAAAATTATGGTAATACAAAATTTTTGGTTAAGTACATTGTGAGAACTAATAATAACACAACATACAAATGGTCATTGCATATTCTAAAATTTTCTAACTAATGAATCGAAGGTGGTATTATTATATAATAGCTGTTATATAATTTGTCATTTTGGTGCCAAAAATGGAAGTGATATAAGTGTAATTTAAGATTTATAAGAGTTTTGCCATTATGTAATTTGTTAAAGACTGAATTTGGTTATTCAATGATTATTTATGAAGATATAGCAAGCAAGGTAGGGATAATTGTTGGAATTTTAGCAACTATGAAGATTTTCCTTTATTAATTTCTTAGTTTCCATATAATCTCCTAAAAGATTCAATGAAAATGGTTGCAGCATTGTATGTGATAGCAGACACAACATATGGTAATTGTTGTGTTAATGAAGTTTTCATATAATTGTTTATAATTATCATGAAATCTAAAGTCACTGTCATAAGCATGCACTATGTATTGACTTAGATAGCAAGCTTGGATTTTGGTTAATCATTTCATTTTAGATAAACATCTTACACCTGAATGTAGCATGGCATGAATGACTCACTTGCGATGGCTATACAATGTATGATACTTAAAAAAGAGAGAGCTTATTGTCAGTGTTTTCTTATTTATTTTTTTGTATAGGGTATGATGTAGTTTAACATGAGCATGATATTATTTTTACTCCTCATAATATATTTTTTGATTTGGGTTACCAAAACTAAAGAGTGCAAGGGTTCTGGCTTAGGTACAAGAGATTTGATTTAGGATGCAAAACTTCTAGCTTCGTCATTGTCATGTAATTTATAGTCATTTTCATGTAATTTAAGGGTACTGACAGTGATGTGCTCTCTGTGTGTTCGATTTACATGTAATCCACTAGATATTACATGTAAATCATTCCATAGTCATACTCACAAATTTTTTCACATATTAATTTACATGTAATTTATAATCGTTTTCATGTAATTCTAGGAGATTGATAAGCACATGCTCTCTGTGTGTTTGATTTATATGTAATTTTCTAGAGATTACATTTAAATATTTCCTTAGGCATGCTTGGGAATTTTTCCCCACATCAATTTACATGTAATCAATAGTAGTTTACATGTAAATCCAACGCACTAACAGAGGCGTCTTCTCTGTTTGATTGATTTACATGTAATCAGCTAGTAATTATATGTAAATTATTTCTCAAGTATGCTCATGAATTTTTTTCCATATTGATTTATATGTAATCCATAATCATTTTCATATAATTCTAGGGGATTGACAAGGGTGTGCTCTCTATGTATTTGATTTACATGTAATTCACTAAAGATTACATGTAAATTATTTCTTAGGCATGCTCATGAATTTTTTTCCAAATTAATTTACATGTAATCCATAATCATTTTTCATGTAATTTTGAGAGATTGACAGGGGTGTACTTTTTGTGTATTTGCTTTACATGTAATCTGTAAGATATTACATATAATTGTTCGAGTCAGAAGCCTTAAACTCTAAGCCAGATTCCTTGCACCTTAAGCCAGATTCCTTGCACCAAAGTCAGAAGCCCCGCACCCTAAGTCAGAAGCCTTCACTCAAGCCAGATCCTTGCACTTAAGCCAGAAGCCCTGCACCCAAGTCATATCCCTTATATCTCAAGCCAGAAATCTTGCACTCTAGTCAAAATCCTTGCACCCTAAATCAAAATCCTTACGCCTTCTAGTTGTTGAGTTTATATGTAATTCTTGATATTTACATGTAATCAAGGAGTGTTGACTTTTTTCAATGAACTTTAAAAACTGAAATTTGGATATATTGGTGCACTGAATTAGCCCCGGAAAGGTTTAGACCTGCATTGGACAATACACTTTGTGAACTCCAACTTAACTACCTTGATCTTTACGTAGTAGTTTCTTGGAGCTTTCATATATCGGAACTCTCAGCATGGATGTGTTGATACTTTTGCATATTAATTTGTTAATATATTTTTAGTGAAGTAATTAACATTCCTTAAATGGAAAGAGTTATAAAAACTTTAAAAAGCGATCTTTCTTTGATAAGTATGTGAATGAAATGATAAAGAATCGCTGTACCATGATGAATTTTCAAAAAAGCAGATTCATTGGCCATTTCGTCTAAAAGAAGGAGCAAGCAGACCACCAGAGGAAGGAGAAGTGTTGGAGTTTGACATGGAAGGCGTGTGGAGAGAAATGGAGAATCTTGTGAAGGAGAAGCTTGTTAGAGACATTGGAATCTGCAATTTCACTCTAACCAAGCTCAACAAACTTCTCAGCTTTGCTCATATATTGCCCTCTATCTGCCTGGTCAAACCATCACAATATGCCAATCCAAAATCTTGATACATCAAAAAACTTGCTGTTTTGCATCACTTTCTCTCCGAACATACGATCACATTAATTAATAATTCACAAGATTCGACTTGGTTGTTTTCATGGTAGGAACACTCCAAAAGGGTTACGCTTCTTTGATATCCCAAAAGGAATTGTATGCTCAAAAGTTGTTAGTTGAAGAATACCATTACTAGCTCCTGAAGTTTTGTAGTTGATGATGTTTTAGATGGAGATGCATCCGGGATGGAGAAATGATAGGATGCTTGAGGCTTGCAAGAAGAATGGCATTCAAGTCAATGTAATTATCTATACTATACTTAATGAATCTAATTTTCTGGAGTTTTGTGGCAGAAACTGGAAAGTGAGAATGGCAACAGAATGTTTGGTGATGATGATAGGCATACTCACCACTAGGATCATAAGGAGGAGGGAGAGATCTGATCCATGATCAGACGGTGGATAGGATAGCAAAGAAGCTGAACAAGAGCCCAGGGCAGCTGTTGGTGAGGTGGGCCATTCAGAGAGGGACAAGTGTCATCCCCAAATCAACCAAACCAGAAAGAATGACAGAAAATGTCAGTGCTTTCAACTGGACCATCCCAGAGCAAGACTTCAAGGCCCTCAGGCCTCAGCAGCATCCCAGACCAGGTAAGCTCCTCACAACTCAATTTATAAGTCGAAAGAAAAGATGTGTTACTCCAAATAAATAAATAATGCTGACGTGCTGTGAATGATGGATTCAGAGACGAGTATTGGATGGTGAAGAGCTGTTGGTGAATAAAAGCGCAGGACCACTCAGGAGTGCTGCTGATGTTTGGGACCATGATGATTAGCTCACACTTGGATTTACTCAACTCGACTCTTTTATCCTCCTTTCTTTTCTCTCCTGCACTGTCAGATTTAAGTGCAATCATTCGATGTGTACCAGACTCAAGAAAAATCAGACACAATTTATCCTGCAACTCTCTAACCCATTAAGTGCCCTTTTGTTCTCATCTTTATTTCAACAAATTAATTTTGAGCTTTGGATCCTAAAACGCACATTTAGGATCTGCATGTGTTTTATAACATCTTCTGAAACCCTTAAAAATTTATGGGGCTGAAGCTGAACCTTGGAATTCCACACTAAGCTTTTGGAGTTTTACAGTTTAACTCAAGTATGTCACCTGTTCTGTAAGGAAATTGTTTGAACAGAAGGGAATTATCAGAAGTGCATTCCTAAGAAAATGCGAAAAATAGCCAAGTTATCTCAAGCACGATAATCGTCCAAAAAATCAATTTAAGAAAGAGAGTCAACATGGCACAAGTCTCAATCAATTTAAGCAAAATTTTGCAAATGTCATGCCATTGTCCATAACTCAAACGATTGAACTTGTAGAATATTTTGTCAATGCAATGCGCTATGAGCTTTTTTTTTTTTTAAATCATGTAGCCATTGAAATCAATTTTTATCGATGCTATTGCAAACCTAAGTTGATCCTTATGATTAAAAAGAAAAATATTTACCAAATATATAACCTAATTGGTCATCGATGATGTTTTAGTTTTTCATCTTTTTGTGATCAATATGACACAAGTCTTACTCTTTACGACTGCCATTATGTTTCTGTACAGATGCAGCTGTTACAAAATGCCTTCCTCCATTTTCCCTTTCTTTTTTCTATGTTCAGGTCTTGCCGTTATGGTGCCCCCTGGAAGTGTTTTGAGGAGACAACGATTATTACATCTATGCGCGCTTTTGCCTGATTTAATCCACTATTTCATGTGGAATTATAAAGTGGAGCCTCAATCTCCAACCCCAACATGTTCTCTTCCACCTTGTAACAATAGTCTTATTTGCATAACTGAATTTGAAATGCAGGGCTACTGAACTTCAACGACCCCATCAACGCACTGAGAAGATTTTCTACTCACAACCGTAGAGAGTCGTGGGTATTTTGAATATGATACAGAGTTGGCTCTAGACAATCTTCCACGACCATCCAATTCCTGCCCTAATGTTATTACAGAACTCTTGTCATCATCTACCAAACTTTCAGTACCTTCATTTCTAAGGTTCTTCCCTTGACGTATGTTGCTCCTAGCAGATGGAGAATCGGGTAAAGTAGGCTGTTCATGCAGGAACAAGCATATCACTGTACAATCATCGATCTTGGCATTGGGATGCTTGTATCTCCAGACCGAAACAGCATGCCTTACTAACATTTTTGCTGCCATAGACCTTGGCGCTGAAGCAACTATGCTTATCACTTCAGCGTTAGATAGCACATCCCAAACCTGGAAAAAATCATTTGCTTATACTGTTAGATCAAATCAGAGTTGACCCATCTATTTTTATGGAGTTTAGGATGAATTGCATTGTTCACAACTTATGAATAGTGTGACTCCCATCACTTTTGATATTTTATATCGATATTGATGATGATATTGACATTTGCTCAGTAATTAATGTTCTAAGCATCAAGAATAGGATGTTGAGGTTATGACACACTTACCCCATCAGTTGCCAACACTACAAATTCATCCAGCTTGGTTATTTTTCTATAGAAGACGTCAGGAACTGAGATGAGGCCATAATCTTTAAGGCAGAAATCTCCAAAGGCCCTTGACATGGCGAGTCCAGGACAGTCCTCTTCAGGCATGTATATTCTGTATACTTGTGATTCTTCTGCTGCAGAAAAAACTCTGCCTTCACAGTTTTGGATTCTCATAGCTTCGCCTGATCAGTGACACAATAATAGCCAGTTAGACACAGGCTTGAAAGCCTCATGAGACATGCGAATTGACGTCATTAACAGTCAACACCCACTTGGAATATCAGGTTTCAAGTCCACAGTGAGTTGAACCGGATTAAGTTCATCATTATCTCCTCTCGTGCAAAGAACTGCACGAGAATCTCCCAAATTTGCAATTATCAGCTGGTCACCCTGAAATTTGAGGAATTGACATGCAGAAAAGTCACATGCTTATCAAAAAAAAAAGAAAAGAAAAGAAAGGATATACATATCTTTCTATCTATCATTAAATATCTAAATAGACAATGCTAACCTCCATACTAGTTATGAAGAGGCTAGGTTAGCCATGTCTACATGGGTTCCTTCAGGGAAAAAAGTCCCCACTGTTTCGTGGAAGTCATTCAACCAAATAAATTCTCAAGCAATTACTTTATTTTGGGAAAAGAACCTAAACACCCCTGCATTTACCACGTATTTACGATGAAAATGACATAAATGTCCCTAAACTCTGTTTCTTGAAGTAGGGACTTTTTTGTCAGAACTCCTCATGTAGAGATGACCAGCTTCCAATCATTTAATGTGGAGGCCAACATTTCCACATACCTGTCGTGAATTGTGTATTTTTATGTGTCAAACATGGTTTTGTGGGAATTTGAACGCAAGCAGCAACTTTTGGTGCATTCTCTCTACATTTTATCACAATTGTGCAATTAGCAGGTCCCTCTTAAAATTAATGTTTTCTAAATTTATTCTACAGTGCTGTTTGTATGAGGATATAGAAAGCATACACAAAAAGTTGCAGCAGACATTTAATATTGTGGGGCTTGTCTCATGTTAGCGTCTGTCTTCTACCACTATCGTGATATTGCAATCGTAAACTCTAATTATACCTGTTGAATTACAGTTACAGCAGTGGTACCGCTGGAAAAGCTGTCAGTGTTAATGTCTCGAGCAACATCTTCATCCATCTCATTGAAAGACTTGACAAGGCTGCGCTCCCATGAAGCAAGGGACATGTTTTGGTCATTTTGACCAGACACATTTACATGGCTGCTTCTATCTCGAGGATAAGGATCCCAGAGTTTGCTGACCTTCTTCTGTTGGGACATTTTGATCGATTCAGCGAGCTTTGCTGGAAGGTTGTCACGTATATATTGGGAAACCTTGTGTCCCAATGGACCATGACCATCAAACACACCACAGAAGATCGTGTCTTTTTCACCGGAAAAGCCCTGATTATATATCTTACAGAACGTTAATCCTAATGGCATATTTGAGAGCTGGAAGGAGAAAGAGAGGGAAAGAGACGAAGCAAAACATAAATGAGGGAAAAGTTTCTCCTCTTCAATTCCCCAAATTCAAATACTTAAAGAATATTAAAGAGAAAACTTTGCAAGACATTGGAAGGTTGACTGAAATACTTTCATTATACCTCCTTCTCTATCAATAACTCGTAAACAAGAGAGGTTTGAAATTTAATTAAACATTCCTTTCATCTTCCTTCCCCTCCATCTTCTCCCTCATCAAAACATATCCAACGAGAATGTGATCAAGCATTTAAAAAGAGAATTTTTACCTCCCAAACTGTTAAAGCATCTTGGTTAATCCCCTTACTTCCTTGTTGACAATACATTGATACAAACTTAGAGGAACCTCTTAATCTTATTCGAGCTTCGGAATCTCCATAAGCAATATCTTCGCGCTCTGGGCGACCATATTCTCTATCATCCATGTGCCTAATCACCTTGCCTCCACACGAAATCTCGCAACTGCAACAACCTCCCATATCGAAAGGCCCAACGATGGTAATTCCAAAACCAAGGGGGCACGACGAAAGGGCAGTCGGAGCCCAGAAAGTTTCTCGAGAGAATGGAGGAGGGCTCGAAACCGGAAAAGCTCGAATGGATTAAGAGGGTGTTGGGGAAGGTGGCAGCGAAAAACTGATAAAAGGCTCGAAAATCGGTAGACATGGCTAGAAATATATGCAATGACTGCGCAGAAGAAGATGTCATGTTGAGATAACCTCGAAATTGGGATATTGTGGCATGAGATTCCGCAGGGTGTTTGCTCTCTGAATTCGCGGTGGCCGTCTTGACTGGATTTCTTAAAAAAGAAAAATAAAATTACAAAATTAAGAGCCGAAGGACGAAAAATGTCTAAAAAAGGATTCTTTCGAGCCCAAAAATGTTGGAAGAAAAACTGATAGGCGTCTGTGGCTGCACTGAACTTACTATGCTACCACCCTAAATGAATTTTTATTCATTCCTCGATGTTTACTCTCTTTTGGAAAAAAAAACCGGGGGGGGGGGTCAATAACAAATTAACACCCATCAAATTAGATTTTGATTTTACCACAACAGTAAGTCATAAAGTATCTTAAAAATAAATTATGTTTATGTAATTCATTACATATGAGTAGATTGCATACTTTTGTTGAATTTTATGTAATTTTAAGATTTTAAAAATATCATAATTGTATAATTTTATATAAAAATAAAAAAGCCTTCGTTATTTACTCTTAATTTTTATTACATGTAAGTTATCAGGTGTTTGAAATAGTTGATGTCTACTTACCAAGTATCACGTGAACTAGAAAGTGTAATCCTCCATAACTTTAATTTTTATCATCTATTTTTTAGAGATGGGTTCGATTATTTTCGGAATCAGAAAAGAGAATGTTGAGTATATCAGGTCATTATAATATCTTGGTGGAAAATGACAAGTTTCTGATCTATACATCAGCAAAAATGATTAGCGGCAATTCCACGGCCTTCCCACTACAAGAAAAGGACACGACTGACATGAGTTCACTCTTCTTTGCCCTGCAAAACCATCCTATATTACCATGATCCACAAGCAAATAGGTCCCATACCTGCCCAGATGAAATGCCAACTTCTAAAAATCGTCGATATCAAGATTAAAGATGCATATAGAGTTATAATATTTAGTTGTTTTCGAGTCACAGCATGACTCATTTCGATTTATATAAATACAACACCGCTCCAGTTTACAATTAAAAAATGACTTGCGCTGTTCTTCAAGAAGAAAGGTTTGCCTTGGCTATACTAAAAGGAAATGAAGCATCTTTTCCTGATTATATGGGTCATTTTTCAAAAACATTATATTCATGGCATTAACGACCACAAGAACAATGACAATAACAAACAAACAACAGCAACTTTGGTAATCAGAAGAGACTCATACAACAATTACAATTCCATCGATTGCACTTGTAGAAATATAACGAAAGGAAAACTGAAACGCAAATGACTCTTCCGTATGGGTAAAGTGGTGGGTTTAAAAGCGAAAATATCTGAAGAAACGCGTGGAAGGTAAAAGGAAATAAACATGTTGTGCAGAACATCCGAATGTGTGCAAGGATTTCATATTTTCACCACCATTGATGAACCAGAACTCCCCTTCGTCTAAGAGAATAGAACAGTGCCAGGCACTGTTCATATGTTTTCTCGTACTTGGAACTCCTCTGCCCAGGGCAACATCTCTGCCACCTATTGTAATGGCATTCCAGAAAAATCTCATCTACCAAACAAATAGCTCCAGTTTCAAATAACCTCGGAATCAGATCAAACTCAACCCCTTCCACATCCATTTTCATCACAACAAAATCATTATTTGAGACTGTGTTCTTCAGCCATTCCGCAAAATCAAACCCTTGGATCTTCTCCACTTCACCATCAAACTCACCGGCAAAGTGCAGAGGTTGAATCCTACCCATTCCTCTAACTGTAGTTTCCGCTTGCTTACCAGGGTCCCTGTGAATTTCAAAGGTTAAGGTCCCATTCTTCACCCAAGCTGCATAAGGTAACAACGTTATTCCCTTTTTCAACCCGTATTCTTGATGAAACGTCTTATCAGCTTCAATTGCATACACATGGAAGGTCTTGTTCTGTTTCGGATACTGTTTCCTGAACCAACTTCCTATACTAGAACCGTAGCTTCGAGCCCCAACATCTACATAAACATACCTATTCTTAAAGCTGATGTCAACCATCGATGTAAGGTATTTGATGTTCTTTATGTTTCTCTTCAATGTTATCCAAGGTTTCAGTGGCTCCTCAGCAATCAGAGGCTCAGCTTTTGCTACCAATTCTTGTTTATACCCTAAAGCAGAGCAATTGCGTTCGGAATTCTGCTTCTCGGTTTCATGACCAATAATTCCATCCCCCTCTTTCCTAAGAACGATTTCTCGTATATAAGGCATTGAAGAATCAAACCCGTCTATGTCACGCGATTTCACTACCATGCAACAGTTAAACAAATCCATGAACGAATTGAAACTGTAAGTATCGTTTGCCTTTACATGGAACACCACAAATCCTTTGGGTTTAAGCGTCCGAGCAATCTCAGAGGCAAATTCCAATGGCCGTGCCGATTTGTCGAGCCCGCCTTGGCCGGAGAAGACGAAGTCAAACATATTATCTCCTAGAGGAAACCGACGAGCCTCCCCGGCTTTCTTCGAGATTCCAATGGAATCCATAATGCCATTCTCCTTCAATGCAAAGACGTCGCTTCCTGTTGACGTCTCCACGCACAACGATTTGGACTCCGGCGTAATGTAGCCCTCGGCAATCAGATCTTGAAACACAGAAGAGTAGAATTGAACGCCCTCGCTCCATTCGTTGCTTTTATATAGCTCCGGCCAAGCCGAGGATCGAAAGGTGTAGTCGGACGAAGCAGCCCGAGCACTGAAGGCTCCGTGACCGGAACCGGAGACCAAAACACTGACACTCTCCGAGTCCGAGGTAGAAAAGAAACAGAAGGCACCGACATTGCAAGACTCGCCAGCTATGGCGATGACGTAAGCGAATCTTAGGAGCATGAGGAAGACGCCGAAGAGAAGCAACCGAACCAGAACATTGCGGAGAGAACCCTGCTTGCCTGCGGCAGGCTCCATGGCAGCTGACGGTGCACTTTTCAGGCAAAATAGAAACAAACTTTAACGAGAGACAAAGGAAGTGAGGATTTGAAAAGATGGAGCAGGGATGCGCGGGGGCTTATCGAGAGCAGAAACGAGCGGAGGTATGGTTGGCTCCGAGGAGACATGATCTGGCGGAGGAAGGAACGGCGGACAGCGGGAAGAAGGGAGGGAAGGGAGTGGCAAAACGGGAAGACATGTTTGAGAAGAGAGAAAACGAAGCAGAGAGGGCTGTGTATATCTATGAAAGAGAGAGCGTGAGTGAGGTTGGGGTGGAAATGGATATTAGTGCGTTCTGTGGCCTGGGGGAGAATATAGAGAGATGGAGCTATGAAGACGAAACGCGGTAGTGAAGCGTGGAGGCCGGAAAAGCCGATGACACGTACACAGGAAGCGGATCTCCCGGGAAGCCAGATCCAGGATGCTACTGCATGTTACTTTATACGTACTCCTCCGTTAGGAAGGCATTTTCAACATAAACTTGTCTCATGTTTTCTTTTTATATTTACTTTTATTTAACATTTTATTTTAAAATAAATATAAAATAATTTATTTATTATGAGCACCTTGCATAAAAAATATAATGATTATATCTTAAAATATTAAAGATATTTTTTATTTTTTACTATTTAATCATTAAAAAGTTTCTTATATATATATATATATATATTTTTTTTTTTTTGATAGGAGGAGTATGTATAATAAAAAAGAAAGGGAGAGGATGGAGGAAGAAGCACCCAAGGGAAAAGAGAGGGAAGCAGGAGATAGAAGGTAGAGAAAAGGGCATCAGTGCATGAGAACCGTTATTTGGAAGTGAACGTCCACCTAGGATTCCCGCGCCTAGTATAACCGTCACCTTCTAGTTGAGTAGTAAAAGGACCACCAGAGAACGACACTGTTTAGCGGTAAATTAAACGACCTAACTTCTCTCTATTTTTTTTTAATTTTTTCTTCACTTTTTATTTCAGCTATTAAATTTATTTTCAAACGGTTAAAATTTAATATTTTATAAAATTATTATTAAAATATAAAATTTTATAAAAAATAAATATAATAATAATTTTATGAAATATTAAATTTTAATAATTTAAAAATAAATTTAATAATTCTAATGAAAAGTGAAAAGAAAATGAAAGAAAAAAAAATGAAAAGAAGTTAGGGAGACGGGTGATGAGAGAGACTGAGAAGACAGAGAGAATTCCTCTCGAGACTCGGTAAAAGGGTCAATGCAATGCATGTGAGGTATTGGATAGGACTTCGGAGGCGTCACGGGCCAAGGGCACGCTAACAGAGGCGTTCTTCCGGTGGGCCCTCCTCCTGCTCGGTATTCTATGTTGTACACAATACTTTTATTTGGCAAATCCCTGTGACACCCTTTTGTGGTTTATCTCTTTCGTTGGTCCCACTTAAAGTTAAGAATACGAGCGGATTTGACTTGTAAGGACTTGATTATTATGAGTTTGTCCTTTGAAGGCTTGAACCTTAAAATTTAATTTTAAAATTTTATTTTTTAAATTCGATCTTTATATAAAACGCTCAGGGTTAGCCTTGAAGTTTTTTTTTAAAATAAAAAAATTAAAATAAAATTAAATATTATAAATTAATTAAAATATTTTAAAATTAAAAAAATTAAAATTCTCATAATTTTTTAAAAATTAAACAACACATATTTAAAAGTCTAGTAATAAAATTTAAATCTTAATTAAAAATAGTTTATTTTTTTATAAATACACAAACATAATAATTATAAAAAAATAAAAAATATCATAAATTTTATACTATACACTTATATTTATTAAATCATATTAAATTAATTTTAAAATAAATTAAAATTAATAATAATATAATACATGTAGGATTAAGTGAGTAGGTCATTGGCTTCAAACACGTGTTCCACCAAAAAAAAAATAATAAAATAATAGAATTTGAAGGACTGCCCAAGCCCAAACCTTTTTTTACAGGGCTTATCAGGGTAAAATTTTTAAACCCAATTATTTTAAAAAAATTTATTTTTAAAATCTAAACCCTTATTTAAATAGAGCTTTTAAGTCCAATACTCTTTGGCCTTTGGTTATTTCAAACTTTTGGTTATTTCAAACTCTAGTCCGCCAAACGGTGCTATCTCCTCCTCACCCAACGATCTCGTCCCCATTCGGTTGTTTCAGTTTTAAAATTTTATACCTTACCTTGATATTAATCTAAAATATAAGAGATTTTGTTGGTGTTATATATATTTTTAATTACATCCTTATTTTATTAAATAATTAAAATGATTATGTTTTGAATAAGTTAAATATTATATTTATTATATTCAAGATCACAATTAAAAAAATATGGAAATTTTTTAAAAATAAATATTTTAACTGACTTTTACGTGGAACGGTAATCAATCCAATGTTAGTTAATTAAACAAAAAATAAGAAAACCACTTGACATTAATCTGGGCTCTCTTTCATATCTAAAAGTCACAAATATTCCTCTACATAAAGAAATGAGCGTGTACAGACAACTGAAGCTCAGAGTCACTGACGAAGGGTAAAGATTAGAAATTATATTACAAATGCCCGCCAAGAAATGGAGGGGAATATTAAAATCATACATTGAATGGAAGTTGATAGAGAGGTTGGCCTGTACCATCATGATTCTCCGTTTTGTTCTTATTATGATATTATATGTTGGTCAAATCTTTGGAAATATATCGTAAGCCCTGTCCTTTTATTAACTATTCGCATGCACCACGAAATGTACCCAAAACCAAAAAACAAAAACAAAAAAAAAAAACCAAGAACGGAAAACTTTTGAACTACTTGATGTATCATTACAATAAAAAAAAAAAAAAACCTTGCAAAAGTGTTTATTTTTGCCTGCAAAAGCATCTTGGAAGTGCTCCCCCGTTGAACACCCTCATGTATAAAGAAGCACTTTTTAAAATGATCTTATATATATAGAGATATGAGAGTGCCTTTTTAGAAAAGCTTTCTCACATAGATGAGTATAAAGGCTCTTATTTAAAAAAGCGTTCTCATTGAGAAGAGATTAACAGTTTTTTATTATTTTTTTATTAATTTTAAATCAAGTTATGAAATTAATACTTCTCATTAATTTTTTTATTAATTTAATATTTTAAAAAAAAGACAATCTTTTATTAAATTTTTTCACTAATTTAAATTTTTTTAATAGTGAAACCTATGGGAGTGCTCCACATTTGAGCTCCCCCATAAGCCTCAACATATCAGAACGCTTAGATAAAGAGCGCTTGCGCATGTTAGCTTAAGGGAGTGCTCTACTATGCTCCTCTCAATGGGAGCGCTTAAAATATCTATTTTGTTATTTTTAAAAATTTTTAAACTTTTTTAATCTTTTACAAATGACTAATTGCAATATTAAAAATAAATCCAGAAACAACATTATTGAACATAAAAATTTGTGCATGCAATGAAAGAATTTGAAAATAAAATTACTTCAATTTTCTAACTTGTCTAATCTCTTGTTAGTCTAACAAATAAAGTTATTGGTATTTTTTGTAACATTAAAAGCTAGTTACCTATTACAAACAATCAATTATGTATTTTGACCACTCTTCAATTACAAATTCTATTTGCTCCATAGTAAAATGCAAGGATCTTACTCCAACAAAATATTACATGAGAAATGAAAGCAACATATCAGTAACTAACATTATGTTAATTTAATCTTAAAGCATTTGGCTTACATTTTCAAGAATGATTAACTTTTGTTGTGTGATTATTTCTCTCATAAACTTTATTACATAGTATTCACACTCCTAACATTGTATCTGTGTAGGTACCTATAAAATGATAAAGATATCATTATCAAAATATGATAGAAACAAATTTTAACTTAATTACAAACACTTTAGACATGAAATTATATATATAATTCTCACTTGCTAGATAAAATCCAGCAAAGTCACCACTATAACTTAGACGTTTTAAAATGTTTTTTTAAAATTATACATCAATCCAAAACAATATATTCAGAATAACAAATTTAAAATATCAATCAAATAATCTTTTAGATCTATACCAACTTGTTTTATTAAGCAAACAATACAAACTTTTATTCTTTTCTATGCATAAAACTCAACAAGATCAAGCTTTTCAGTATTTAGAGAGAGACATTCATCACTTCGGTAACATGCTATGGCCCAATAAGAATTAAGCATGCCAACTGAAAATTCTTACTCTAATTGTTATAATAGACATATATAAAGAATATAGAATAGAAAACTTACTAATTAAATAATATCCTCATAGATTTATAATTCTTAAAGTCACTATCTTTTAATAAGTTAAGCTAATAAATCGTAAGGAGAAATGGATTGACAAAAACAAGAACCCAGTATTGCTTGAAAAATTAAATATTTTATTAACTCAAATGTCAATAGATTTAAAGATAAATAACAATAACAACTCACCTCATATTGTAATGAGCTAAAAATAACATGTTTCTTTTACCTTTATCCTTAAATGCATTGGTAATTTTTTGAGAATGATAATCAACACTATAGGTACTTATGTTGTGAGGGCTAATAAATGAAAATTTCATCATTGAGCTTGACACTAAAAAAATATGATGAAAGTACCTAAAATGAAAGAATATATATATATATATATATATATGTATGTATATGTATATATATTACATATATTATATAATATTTTGGGTTAATGTGTATTTTTGTCCCTAATGTTTTCTCTGAGGAGTACCCAGCACCTTAAGGTATTTCACATAGCATTTTTGTTCCTAATGTAATTAATTTGGTGCACCTGCCACCCTAACGTTAAGAGAAACCAAACATCCTATAATTAGGTAGTGTAAGACCCATATACATGTTTAGGTGGCATATAGTTGCATCTACACAGTAGGTCAAAAATTGGGAAAATAACAACTCTCTCTCCTTAGAAATAGAAAATGCAGAAAATCTCATAGAAACACCCTCTTTAACACACTAAAAACACCAACAACATCCTACATGCCCTCTTTAATACGCCAAGCTAAGCATTCGATTGCTTGCAATATGAGTTCACCAATGATAAAGCCACATGCATAAAAGATGTAGTTTCATACATACATATTGTCATTGAGCTATTTCAAGTTTTCTTCAAGCTTACTACTATTACTTAATTAATAATCACTCTTAGGAACTCTCTCTTAGCTGTGATCCCTCTAGTATCAACTTTTATGGTTTAGGTCATACACAATGACATCATTCAGCATCTAAAGATTGTCTATGGGGTCCCATTTAGTCAGCATGCCTCTACCACCAATCGACTGTGAAACATCAGTAGTAGTTTGTTATCATTATCGTCCAGACCCAAGAAGGATTTAATGCTTGAGATTTGTTAGTTGAGTTGAACGACGTCATTGTAGCTAG